CAGTAACGCCTATTACAGCATATTTGCCTATTATATCAGCAAAATTGTCACAGACTTACCATTCTGTGTATTGACCAATATATCATTGACCGGTATTGTCTACTATATGACCGGCCAGTTGTTTGATACTTATTATAGGCCTATGTATGTCATACTCATCAATACGTTGGTAGGTCTCAGTGGACAGACAATAGGTAATGGAATTGATATAAGACTTATAGGTTTACAAATTATTAGATAGACATTTAAAATGTAATTTAACTATAGGCATGTTCTTTGGGGCTCTCTTTATGGAAAACCCAAATTTGGCAGTATTTTCGTCAGGAATAAGTAATTTAATAATTTAATTACAAATATTTATTAATAATGAATTAATTTAACCAACAGTAATCTTACCATTATTCATATTCGCTGGATTTTTCCGCAAATTATCACTAATGCCGGCGTATTTCCTGCCAATCAGTTACGTATCGTTTTTCCGATACTCACTGACGGCGACACTAATCTCGGTATTCGGACTCAAGCGATGCCAATACGAGCACTGGTTGGCCGAGAGTGTGATGGATGTGACAAACATGACACGACCGCAATGGATCTCATCCATGTCTGTACTCCTCCAATACCAGTCCCAATTCGCCGGCGCCAGCGATAAGTCCACAGTTGTGGTCGACGCCAATGGCGAGCCCGAAGACAACCTGTTGATCATGTTTGGTGGCGGCAAACTGGCCAATCACACGTTGACCTCGCTACTTTTGACTCAATTTGACATAGATGATAGTGAGGACTCGCTTTGGCACGAACTCAATTTGTTAATATTCTTTGTCGCTGTAATGTATTTATTAGTTTATATACTCCTTAATTGGAAAGTTGGCCGAAAACGATGAACCGCTTCTATTGAGTACATTGTATTCATTCACAATTCGTTGTCTCCAATGAATACCAGAAATTATAATTATAATAACAATAATAAACACAAATCTAATGAACCCAATGGTGAACACATTGAATACTGCGAGAGTTGTTGCCCTTCACGTGTGTATCTTCTTCTTCATCTTCTCTTAACCTTTAACTTTAAGACAAACTTTTGATTATAAATATAAACTCTGTTTTCAAGACTACTGTTTATACAGAGGGAGAGGAAAATAGTTATTTATTTATAGGAAAAATATCATTAAATTATTTTTCTAAAAGAATCTGTTTTCTTGTCCTAAGAAATGAGTTGAAAAGCTATTCCGAGTAATAAATTCATTGAATAACACGAATAACAAGTATATAAACATAATTTTA